TTACATCTGTGAACCAATCATCTGTCCCCCCTCTCCATATTATACAGTGCTTTTTTTAAAACCTACAAACAAGGCTAGTATAAGGAGCCAATTAATGTTGATCTTAACAATAAACAAGCACCCTTTAACATACTCAATTTTTATTTAATATAAAAGATAAGTGCTGGTATTGGTAATGCGCATTTTGAAATGAGCTTTTAATCCTCTCAGTTTTTGCTAGTTGAAGATTAATGTTGTCAGCACCCATGACTATTATAACATAATACTGTCATCCCAATATGATTACAATGGTGAGAGCCAAAATTCACGTTTATCTGGATTGACGTTTGAATATGAAGACCCTTATGACAATTCACTTAAAGTAAAACATGACTTTCAAAAGCTTTGATATAATTCCCAGGTCTAATTTGGGAAATACCCATCTTGGTGAAATTTCCGAATTCTGCTTCCTCAGTTTTATTAGTCACAATTAACCAGCACGACTGGCCATTCCGTTTACTGTGTATAAATTAATTACCTCTAACTCCACAGACATGTCCGCCAAGTATTGAGCCATGAATTAGCCTTTTATCCTTTTGATGGTTATATTTATGTTTAACAATATTATTTATTTAAAGTTCATCAACCCTATTAACTAATTAAAAGACATATTGCTCCAAAACTAGATTTTGTAGCAATAAACTTCATGAAATGACTTTAATAAACAGTGAATTGTAAATGCATCTTTAAGATGATCGATGGATATCGGCTGCACTTTGCAATGTGACCGACCAATCCTAAGCGGCTATATCGCGGGTGCTGATTGGTTTGCCCAGAATTTCCAAAATGTTGGCTCAGCTGATTCCCTTTTCGCAGTTAATACATAACGGAAGTAGAAGTGTATAGGTCCTCGCTTCCAGCCGCGTAAGTTTTGACCAATTTCTTACAATTGGGGTCTAGATTATATATTTATATCTTCCAGTAATGAAATTATGGTTTCAGTTAACCTGTAAGAATTAGGAACTCAAAAAGATAGACAAGGAAAATTCCTGGATTTCAAACAACAATCCACAATTTTCTTGGTACCTATCACGCTTTGTTGTTTAAGTAGAGGAAAAACATCCTATTTTTTGTCAAGAAATTTTAAATAGCGTTTGGTAAGAACCAAAAAAACCTTTGTTGGGCAAAATGTGAATGACTGGTAGTTAGCTACAATATTTTCAATCATTTGAAAAAAGCATTTTTTTCTCTTGAGTTTCAGAAAAAGTTCTGCTTATTCTCAATTACATGGCATTTATAAGTACTTTCATAATAACTTTTGTGAAAATTATTTCTGAAAAACTGGGCAGCTGATTTTAATGATGTGTACTAATTATTTATGCGCGCATGAATTGATATCATTTATTTGTACGAAATAATATCATAATACGATAATCTTACTGCAATTAATATTTTAAATAATTAAAAACTCATCTCACCAATTTGACTCCCAAATTGAATAAATTTTAAATGCTTCAGAGACATTAGATATTCCTTTTGAATTCTCTTCTAGTTTGTCTATATCAGGCTTTTTTTGGTAATCTTTGTCGTATTATTTTTAAGTGACCTACGTTGAACGCTTCATTCGTGAAAAGACATTTTGGCAGGATATGAGTAGAGATCACTTTGAAGAGCAAGCGTAAAGTGCACATTTATTTGAGTTGAAATCAAACCCCTTTCGAAACTTCAGACTGTAAGGAATTAAAGTAGAATAATTCTTTCTTTAAAAATTGCACTTTTCAATAACATTAAAGTAAATTCTAGTCGAAAGAATGGCATATTGTAGCTATGGTTGTCTTACCAAATGCAAACATTTATTTTGTTGCGATGATATAAGGATATCCATAATTACTCGGAATAGGTTCAATGGAAAAGGAATCACTTAGAGATGGCCTAGAGTTTTGAAATGACAAAAATAAATCGTGATTGCGTGATAAAACAACATGATAAATCAACTATTCAGTGAAGTCCAAATATAATTGCTATAATGATGATGTTGTCAAAGATTTGGTACTGAGACATCAAAAAGAGAACTCTCCAAATTAGAAAATGGGGATAAATCAAAACCCACTAGTTCTAGAAGACTTGTGATACCCTTAATCCACTTCCTTGTTACTGTTTATCCCAAGATTTTATTACCATAATAAACCTCAAGTTATTCCTCCATTCATCTGATCAAAGCCTAAAATATTTATTACCATATCATGGCAATAATTTAAACATCCTTGCCATGTATCTGTGGTGGCATTAAAATATCCCAGGGTATTTAGCATTTTCCCAAATATTTTAACATCGGACTCTAAGCCTGATACTTGGGATAAGTTAATTTGTGAATCACATCTAATATACGAAAATTTTGTTTATATTCCTCAAAAAACCCCATTTTCATCACTTTGCTAGAAATCATAAAATTTTAAAACATATTATGACATTTTTCTTGACGATTTTTTTCTACTAACTTCTGCATTTGTGAAATTAAAGCCCTCAAATTTCGATTAATTGTTCACTTGGAAATTAGTTAAATGATGTTTTTCAAAGTTATATATGTGCGTGAAAACGTTATTTAAGAAATAATTTTAATAAATCATGAAAAAGATCAGTAGGTCTATGTTTTAGCCCTTTTATGTGTTAGCAATATAGAATTTAAAATGAGAATCTATTAAAAAATGTAGAGAAAATTGTGAAATATTTCGATAAATTTGTGTCAACTTTAAATAACACAATTCTAGTCAGCTCTTCAAGCGTACAGAATTTCCAACAATAGAGCTTTTTATTCAAAGCTCCACTAAATAATTACTTTCAAAATTAATTAATTGTTTAAAACAATGGTGGTTTATTTAGTATTCAAATGTAAATGTTATTTACTAATTCAACTTCCTTAAGGAGTTTGAAATTTTCTCAGGAAGTTGGACCTTTCGGGGAGGATATTATTACAACATTTTGCCATGAAATGATAAATAACTATTTTACATTTGCCTTCTATTTCACTGCAGTAGCAAAAATATATGTGGACGTTTTGCCCAAATAAGTAAATTTTTACAATGTGAATTAAACAGTCGATAAATTAACACAAGAATAGAATAACTATTTAGGTATTGGAATTCGGTAATTAGGTAAAAGTAAAAAAAGGTAAAACACAATAGTTTCATGATCTATTGCCACAAAATATTTCTTTTATGGAATTTTTATTCATATGCAGCGTTTTTTCACTTTCTACTCTATTACCTGCATCCAATTTAAAATCGTTATCCCACACCCTCTAGTATGATAATCGTAATTATACCCCAATAGTCTTAAAACTATCAATGAAAAGTTTGTGAATAATATAAACACAAAACCATCAATGATTTTAAATAGCAGTAAATAGCTATTTATCAAATAAATGACCATGCGGTGGCAAAAATAGGAATAAATTAAAAGCCAAAACAGCAATAAATTTAGCAGGAATCCTGAGAATACTTGCTTTTGAATAATTAATAATCTTCTCTTTCATGAAGACATATCGATCTATTTTATTGATTCTATTGCAAAATGTGTATATTTCATGTCAATGGCAATCTGGTTGCATAAAAGATTCATTACGGACATTGAAAGGGATTCAATTAAGAAGTAATATTTCAATTTGAAATCTTGAGTCATGATTGCAAAAATCTCTTCATGGTAATATTTGTTTGTTTTTTAATTTATGAACATCCTTACATCAATTCGCTTTTAAAAACAGATTCTGGAGTTGAAATTGCTCATAATAATTTATAAGTTGACAAATGACATTTCAATGGAGTACAGTTTTCGCGTACCTCAGGAATTATTAATATCAAATGAATGAATAATGCAGTTTTAAGAACTGTAATAAACGGAATGATACGTAGAACATGGAATCTTTCTCAAGATGCCAGTAAGGTAGGCTGAAAAGATTTGTTAAATCCTCTTTAAAATAGGGGGAGGGTTATTCATTCGATTTTTCAATGTTAGGTAAAAAAATATATTCATTAATAAGTGCTATTTAGTAATTAAGCTTACCATATAATTTTACTGCTTATTAATTTAAATGATCTTTATTCCATTTGCCCTAGAAATTTGATAAGTTTTTGAAAGATTTTGCTTAAAAATATTTATTAATTAAAAAAGTAATAAGACCAATTGCCGTTATTTTAAATGTCGATGAGATGAATACCTAAAAGTGAATGAACTCAAAGTTACAGTGACATCTAAATCCCGATATTTTCATTATATTCAAAAGAAAAACGTTTTTCACCTCTGTCCATTCTAAATTTGAAATTTTTTTCAAAGTATACTTTAAAACAAGAGCCGTTGAAAACATGGTAAATAGGCGTCTGAGTGTGATTAGTTTTTCACAAGCTATTTGAAAATTAAATTAATATAAGGATATAATAATAAGGCAGTTTGCAAACCCTAAAACCATAAAAATGAATAAAAAATCCCACAAATGAAATGTTCCAGCAAAACAAGGTTTATTTAATTGAAAAAATATTTGGAACTCACAACAATAATACTCAGTCTGTTATTGAAAAGAATGGCATTAGTTCTACTAGTCAGACCAGAGACCACCAAATCGAACCTCCTAAAAATTTATTCAGATGATTGATTGCACAAGTTAATTCTAACCACTTATATTGGAGCAATTTTCTCGCAATGGCAGCTTCAAAATCCCTTCTGTAAATCTATGGAATTTGATCTTAGCACCTTATGTGTGGCGTCTGGTGATAATTTTCAAGTTCAAAATTAGTTTAACACATTTACAATTCAGGCAACATTATAAATTAATCTAAAAACGTACATTTTATTTAGCAGTAAATAATTGATAATTAATATAATTCAAATTTTACCTCTTGATAGTACGTTATTAAGCTATGCTTATACACACACACACATATATATATATATATATTTATGTATATATAATATTTTATACGCAGTTATTTCTTTCTTTTAGTTGATGGAAGGTGCCGTGTAAATCGCCAATGGAGTCTGATCTCCATAGTCACAAAGAACCCGATTTTTCCTTAAATGAATCCGCTAACTATGCCGCCACAATGGGACCTCATTCCAATATAGTTTATGGACCAATCGTACTCTGTTTGGTCATAACTAGCTTGATTGAAAATGTGTTCTTTGTCCTCCTCACAATCAAACCGCTGCACCGACTCTGTGCTCTACGTCGACGACGTCAGAGGTTCGCATTTCTGGCACGAACACGTGCAAACATTACGTCATTGGCCTATTCCCTTCAAAGCACCGTTATGCCATTCCCAATTCAGGTATCCACTCCAAATCCAGATTTCGAACACTTCAATAAGCAGAATGAGGAACGACTTGCCATTCCACATGCGATAGCGCCATATCAGAGGCACTATTGTCGCCATCGCGGTGTATCAGCAGAATCCTATGATATCTGTCGATATCACTCACTGCATAGGTATACTTTCTACTATTTCAGTAGTCTCTGCATTTCGATCACTCTATTAATGTGTGCAACTCTCCTAAATGTGCTGATTGAATTCAATGAATGCAAGGACAGTTCTGTGGTTATTGATGTGCGACATACTGTTCAATGCCTCCTGGCGGAAGTTTCAATCACCGCCCTTATTATGGTGATGTCATTCAGTCTTGTTCAATTAACAACTGACCGGTTCATAGCTATCTGCCACCCTTTTCACTATTGGAGAATCATGTCATCCTGGAAATGTTTACTTGTCATTGGCGTATGCTGGGGAGTATCGATCGTTTTTGCCCTCATTCCATATATACATCTGCGATTCAATAGCAAAGAATTGACCAAAGGTTTACAGTACTGTTTCCTGGTTGGTATACAAGGATTCAATGGATTTTACATGTATGCCTACGCCTATATTGCCATTGTATTTATCATTCCGTTATGCTTTATTCTACTGGCTTACACCAAAATCCACCAAGTTGCAAATCGATCGGCCGATGCACATGAGGAAAACCATGTGAGATATCTCCGCCGAGGCAGTGAAGTTCAATCACTCTCTGACTCCGTGATAGCGTTGAAAAATCATCATGTTCAATGTCAAAACTGTCAAAAGGATTATCTAGAGCCCTCGCAGATGGCTTCATTATCACTGAATTCTCGTGGTCGACCCTTTAGTAACTTCATCTCATCTGCTTATAGTTCGGAAGGGGAGAGTAGGGTTGGAGTGCAGTATTTGAACGACTATCTCAGACGTGCAAAAGCTGCAAAATCAGCTGTGCTAATAGTTTGCAGCTTCTATGGCCTAATCTTACCCTACATGTGCATGATCTTCTTTCAATCCATACTGGTGGAATTTTTGGAATGTGAATGTCTGTGGTTAGCAGGACTTGAAGCGGTCAGCATAATTCTCGTATATGCCGCTACCATTATAACCCCAGTAACTTACGCTCTACGAGATGGTGCCCTCAGGAAGCGGCTCGACTGCTTCTTCCGTAATATCAAAGTAACGTGTGCAAAGAAGAACATTCCAGTGTTTTCATAACCAAATTAAAAAAAACAGCACGAGACATATAACAGAGACCCAAGATTCCGCCACCTCCTTTCCTCATCTTTTTTTTCTATTTACCGTTGACGAGATGAGTATTTATTTTTATTTTATACTCCATCCTGAAGCATCTTTTGTGATCAATAAAACCATTTCCAAAGTTTATTTTAACCTATCGTTAAGTTAATGCATAGGTATAGAACTAACAATTTTTCGGTAGTTCTTTTTTTCTAATTAATTTCATTGTTGCTCATGCCAACTCGATCTCTCCGTTACCTTTAGTTGCCAGGAGCAGGTGATGACGTCACTTATTTGTGCATTAGGGGTTTTTCTTGTCCTTCTATGCACGTTTCTGTCGATCAATAACTTAGGTTTCAGAGATAATTAGGAATAGAGATATTAACAGGCATATATTGTTTATTCTTTAAAAAATATTTTAGTATTTAAATATAGTACACAATTACCCATCTCTCAACTGACAAATAATTGTGTACTTGTCAACAGAATAGGGAAAAATACTTTCAATAACTAGTTGCTGAATTGCCGCTTAAAGAAATGGCATCTGACACCATTAATTATTCTTAATATTATTATTATTGACATAATTTAAAGTCGCAGAATAATTATTCTCACACATTGATCAGATGTATTTTGAGAAAGTTTAGTTTTGTCGTTGAAAGAAAGCTCAGCTAAGATTGAAAGTTTCACCTAGATATTTACGGTAGCCACCTTTATTTACCATTCATTTAATATGACATTAAGACAATCGTTTTGTATTTAATGTATATTAATATTGACATATAGTAGTTCTTTTTGTCTTGATCAACCTGATCTCATGTTCGCTTTTTTAAATTTTCGTTCACTACGTTATTCTCGAATTTATCAAAGTCTACTTTTATGGTAAACAAACTTATATACAGCAAAATAATTTAATTTTAATAATGCTTTTAAAGGAATAACATTACACTATTAAGCGGCTCACACATCCTTTAAACATTAGCTTACACTTTATTCATATTTAATTATGGTAGCCTCTTAAACAGACTTCAAATTTACCTTTTACGAAGGTATAACCACTCACCTGTAAGCTTTGCGCTTATGTTTAACATTGTATACACGTATAAATGTGGATTGTGTTTTTTCTGGTTGAGGCTTTCAAAGCAGTTATTAAATGACCTCGTCATATTTACAAAAAAGAGACACTTTGCAACTGAGTCCTTTTGATATTCTCCACTTCTTTCGCAAATTGGTAACCTAAGCAACATCTCCCCATAACATTGGGCTCTCCAAGGCCATTTCAAGAAGTTATGGTTAACTTAAACTGCGGTTTGTCTGATGGATGTAAAAAACTGGAAAATATTTATCGACTTTATTACTTTTACTCGAAATAAACCAAATTAGGCCAATTTATTACCATAATAGTTCTGGATATTAAATTCTCCAGGTCAATAAAGCACAAAAATCAATACTCTAAACTTTTCTTCTGTTTGTTTTTTATTGATTAATGCTTTGAATTACAACTTACCTTATTCTAGCAGTAAAATCAGTCAGATGTCTGGTCTGGGTACATTGATTGAAATCGCAATTTGGTTTGGAATTGAATGACAGTTATTCATTATGACAATATAACCATGACAACTTAGTATCTCTCCTAGGCGTTGTTTTATAGGCAACTCATTTGTTACTAAGTCTACTCCGTCTAACAGTAATTGGATATCTACTAAAAAGTATTGAAGCGTTAGCGTAATATATGTCAGATCGCATAATTGAATTAGTGTGTTGATGTCTTTTTGGGGCATAAATTCGTATAAACTAATTTTCAAGCTCTGCCAGACCAATGAAGAAGGTTTCTTGAGTTTAGCGAACATTCTAAGCCTTGAATTTGCCAAATTTAAGTTATTCACTGCTTAAACTTAAGGTGTAGGCGAAGCCATTCGCGGAATGTATCGTTATTAAGTGGGTAATATTAGTTTAATTGTTATGATTTCATCTTGGGAAAAGCAGCTGAAATCGGTTTAAAACAAATCAAATAGGTGGCTAATAGGAACTGAAAAGAGCTTAAGAACACGGTTAAAGAATCCAGGATTACCTTTTTATTAAATTTTTGCTATGCCTTCTTTATGGCTATTGTACATTCGAGTATTTGAAAGGTACGAGACCTAATTTGAATTAACAAGTTATTGATCAGGCATCTGATGATTATTGTCCTACCGATCTTGTCAAATCAATTAAAATATTTTTCCAATAGTTGAGGAGGACATGTACACGAGAATATTTATATTTTAAAAATAGACTAGATGTTTAATTACAATAATATAAATCATAATTACATTGAAAATAAAGCAATTAAACATTATTAAACTAAATAATTATTTTGTAAACGCACCCAGGTGCACAAATATTCCGTTCTCATACACACTTTAACAAAAAGTTTAATAAACTAAAAATGCGCAATTTCACCTTTGACATCCTTTTCAAAGGAAATTTTTTAAAAATGTCTAAAGGATAAAATTTTTAATTGTCTTTTTGTGAAAGTCATATTTCTAATTACTTCTAAGGAACGAAAGTTTGGTAAAGGAAAATAACCTAATTTATTGCTTGAAATATATGAAATATGTCTTACCAGAGGTTGTTAAATGGCCATATGATGTAAATTTCATTACTACTATTAAAATATTCTTCTGGCCCACTTCTCAATATGCTATTCCGGTGCCTCTGATGTTGACCTTTTATCCCCAATTTTAGCAAACACATTTTGCTGCTCCTCAAATGTCAGGGTACTCCCAGCTATAACAATTGTTGTGAGTATTTACTGGAGTCGTACATTCAGCTTTGAACGTCCGATCGAATACTCACTGCACCATATTAACTCTTCGTGGATACACACAATAACTTCCCTACTCCGTTTTCCTCGTAATTCTATTGCTGACGTTAAGAAGGATAAAATTCAAAATGCATTGGCAGGAGAATAGGGGAAAAACACGGTAGTTAAATAGCTAGTCCTACCTTCTGAACGCAAATGATTATAATTATTGTCAAACACAATGTGGCGCCAGTTTGAGTTTTATGATTAGAATGTGAAGTTAAACAGTGGCACGATCAACTGAAGAACTTTGGCTTCACTCCAGGATACTTTAAAAATTTTAATTGACAATAGTGCGTTGTCACTTACCTGGATGCTTAAAAAATCTTCAATTGCCCATAAATTAAGAGAAGTAAATAATGGTCGGTAAATAAATAAAAATATCTTTAGCATAAATGTTAAATGTTGGCAAACAGAAATGAATGCTATCAAGGCCGCACTAAGCAATGAGGAGTAAATTTTAATTTCATAATAATAAACGCTCTTATATTGGATAAAAATGCAGTAAAAGAAAACATCGATTGTACCTTAAAATTGGTTTAATTCAAAATGTAACAGAAAATAAGAACCACTGTTTAGTAGTAGTCCTTTATAATAATACTAGAAAGGACTAAAATGCCAAAGAGATAGATTCTTTACAGTGGAGTATTTCTAATTTCACGAAATCAGATTATTTTAAAGGTGAGACATTTTTGGGCTGAATAAACTGGAGGTAACAAGAAAAGACCGACTGAAGTCATCGGTTTCAATGAAAATGTAGACATGGTTTTACATAAAGTAGGTCGGAGGAAGAACATTAATTTCAAAACTCTACCAACCACGATCCACTCAAAGGGAGATGTATTACAACAGATTGTCATAAAGTGTAACTAATCACGCAATCAAAGCCAGGGTTTGATAAAATAATGACAATTTAGAATCTCCCCAAAATAGCATAGTTGAAGCCTTTGTTAACGGCTGGGTTTAAAATACCAACAGGTTATCAATGAATGGAAAATTTCGGTAAACGTCATCTTTTTCTTTTGGATATTATCGAAAGAAAATAAAATGAAAGGACTGTATGTCCAATTTAGTCAACCAGTCAATATGATTAGAGATATTGGTTAATTTAAGTTTTCAAATCACACGAAGTGAAAATTTTTCGATGTCTTAATCTTATTCCAATCAACTACTCAGTGTGTTATTTAAAACGATCCATTATTCAACATTATTTCAGTTACGGGCGATGAAAACAATACTGCACTTAATTGTAAGATTAAACGACTTTATTCATTATTGTGTAAACTTCTTAAATGGAAAGCATTTCGAATCATTTATGATTTATTGCTTTCATATATATTTATCAAGCCTCCAATTTTGTACTAGTATGAAACAAAATATCCTTCAATAGTGGAATTTGCAAAACAAAATTGTATTTCTTATCTGCCAATTGCACCAAAATGATAATTTTTAATACCTTTTAAATCATCATCAGAAATTCAAATTATTTTACAATTTCCTCAAGTTAACAGGAAATTTCTCAAAATAGAATCCTCAAAGCTAGATCTAAGCGCTTCTAATGGAAAATTTGACCCCAAATTGTGTTAATGGGGAATTTAATTAAAAGCGAAAATTCTTTGAAGACTAAAATATGATTTAACATGCCTCTCGGATTTAATTATGTGCATGCGGATTGAAATCGAGGCTCATTTTATTGGTTTCGACTTTTCAAGGGAAAGGCATTTGAACGTTAATGCCAACATTTTAACAAAATTTAACCCCTCGTAAAATGATTCAGATTATAACCCCATTGCCTACGCAAAAGTAAACTTCAGAAATTGAAAGTCTACTCTTAATCTCTACAAGAAAATAAGTCTTCTCGTTTTTGTTTTACTCAGGAAACTTTCAATAAGCAAAAATTCAAATAACTCTGAATTGAATCTCTTCTATTTTCATTTTAAATGTTATTATACTCCTATTTTCGAACTTCAGGATATGCTTTTAAAGTGGGTTAATTTTAGAGCTTAACGACCTGATGATTTATATATATTTTTTTCATTTTGACTTTTATATTTATTATTGATAATAACTGGAGTTCAATAAATGTGGGCTCTGACATTTAATAAGATAACATCTTGACCACTGAATTAACGTT